GCCAGGCATGGTGGCGCACTCCTGTAGTCTGAGCTACTAAGGAGGCTGAGGCACAAGAATCCCTTGAACTTGGGAGGCAGAAGTTGCAGTGAGCTGAGTTCACACCACTATGCTCCAGCCTGGGCAACAGAGCGAGACTCTGTCCAAAAAAAAAGAAAGAAAACAAAACTTCTGCTTCCCATCCACGATCTGGAAACTGGAGAATCAGATACTAGGTACACTTAATAATCTGACTCTCTTATGACTATACCTGCACTGGCTTTCTGTTTTTTTTCTCTATTTTCTCCACTTTCTCTACCTGTAAGACATCCTCTGCCTCCCCCCAGTTCTCCCGTAAAGAAATCTTTCTGGCAGAGCTAGAATTTACCTCCTTCACTTAGCCTTTCCTCAATACCCCAGTAACCTCTGTTTCATCCCCCATGCCCCCGGAATATTTGGCATGAATACTTCCCTTTCAAGACACTTGTGATTTGTATCTTGCTATGACAACACTGGCTGGACCCTCCACTAGGCTGCAAGCTCCTCAGAAACAAGTCTGACCACATCTTTGCTTCTGTCACAATACTTAGCACCCACTGTCACTTGTCCTTGCTAGGTACTTGGTCAATGACAAATGATAACTGGGAAGTCAAAACAGAACGAACTGTTCAGACTGAGAAGACACAAGTCCCCACCCCCATCACACAGCCTTAGGGGGAGAAGTCACCAATCAACTCCCACCAGTGTCAACACAGGTCATCCCTTCACTCTGCTCACATGGCCACCAATGAAAGAAACATTCATCAGGGCAGTATAGTTTTAGAAGTGGTAGTTCAGATGGGGAGCTGGGTCCTAGAGAAGTTAAGCAAGCTGCTCAATGTCACACAGCTTCCTCTTCCTCTCTGCTAATTCACCAGTGGTTTGCAGTGGCCCTCAGCATGATGTTGAAGGCCACTTAGGATTTGGTGCCTGCCCATCTCTCAAGGGTCCTCCTCCTCTATCACTCCCTAGCACCTGCCCGCCACCCCTTCCCATAATGATCTGCAACCCCCAGCATCTGCTCTCCCATACCGAGAGGACTTTGGCATACTTGCTCCCCTCTCCCTGGCACATCTATTCTCCCTCTTGCCTGGTGAGCTCCAGCCCATCCTAAAAGTCTTGGCTATGAAAGCACTGCCCTCGTCTGTAAATGCTCCTCTGAAAGTTCAGTTTTGCAGTTCAACAACCTGGGTTCAAATCTCTGCTCTGCCACTGACCATTGGGACTCTGTTCTGGTCACATGCTTGCCATATGACTGTAGCAAGTGACCTAACCTCTTAGAATTCTATCTTGGTGTGGGGATGAGATGAGATGATTCAAGGGAACTGTTCAAAGCAGTGACAGGCAGATACTAAGCAGTGACTCTACACTGCTGGGATCTTGCCTGATTTCACAGGTAGTTAGGCAGCCCTGCCACACCTCCACCACCCTGCATGGCCACTGCTCAGGTCTGTGGAGATGCTTGAGTAGTCTCTGGGCAGGGTCTGCATTGCCATCTTTATACTCTCAGAATCCAGACCATAGCTCAGTCCCATCCCCAGACTTCATTACGTGTAAGGTTTGAGTCCTTTCCTGGGTATACCACATGGCAAACACCCAACGCCAATAGCCAAACAGCCACAGCTTCTGGAAAAATGCCTAAGAGCAAAGGCTGCTGTTAATTTAGGTTATTGCTTAAAAAGAAGAGGATCCCAACCTGCAGCAGGGTGAGAATCTCTGCCCACACCTCCTGAGTGCTGTCCTGCTCCCCTGAATCAGCAGTTTCCTTGGTACAGCAGCAGAGAGTGGCACAGAAGCGCTTGACAGACCCCACATCCATCCAACAACAGGCAGCAACACCCTTGGTGGCCTCTAGGGTTGGGAAGCATCAAATAGGATCCAGAGGGTTTCTGAGGGTCTGGTTTAGAAGAATATCTCGATCTTCTTGGAAGAGGCAACTACATGCAAGGTCAGAAGGGACTTTAATGTAAAAATCATGTCTGGATCAGTTTCTTAACTGGGGCACAAGTGACACTGGAGGCCATATAATTCTTTGTCATGGCACTGTCCTATCCATGTAGGACATTTAGCAGCATCCTTGGCCTCTACTCACTTGATGTTACCTACAAGTTGTGACAACCACCAACAACAAAATTTAAAAATGAGCCAGATTTGGTGGTGCACACCTGTCATCCCAGTTACTTAGGAGGCTCAGGTAGCAGGATTGCTCATGCCCAGGAGTTAAGAGTTACGTGAGCTATGACTGCTCCACTGCAGTCCAGCCTAGGCAACAGAGTGAGACCCTGTCTCTTAAAAAAAAAAAAAAAAATGAAGACTCAATTAGAAAAAATTTTTAAATGAATTTTTTTCAACTTGCAGAACTAGCTTCCCGGCATCTTCCAAACACTTAGCTTCAAGGGGGACATCCTTACCCCTTTTCTTTTGAACACTCATCATGGTAATAATTAATCACCAAAATAACCAGGAATTTTATAAAGAGTATCCCAGGTGTGGTGGTGCACACCTGTAGTTCCAGCTACTTGGGAGGCTGAGGTGGGAGAATCACTTGAGCCTAAGAGTTCCAGGCCAGCCTCAGTAGGAAACAGTGATACTTCATCTCTAAAAAAAAATTTTTTTTTTTTTTTTTGAGATGGAGTTCGCTCTTGTTACCCAGGCTGGAGTGCAATGGCGCGATCTCGGCTCACCGCAACCTCCGCCTCCTGGGCTCAGGCAATTCTCTTGCTTCAGCCTCCCGAGTAGCTGGGATTACAGGCACGTGCCACCGTGCCCAGCTAATTTTTTGTATTTTAAGTAGAGACGGGGTTTCACCATGTTGACCAGGATGGTCTTGATCTCTTGACCTCGTGATCCACCCGCCTTGGCCTCCCAAAGTGCTGGGATTACAGGCGTGAGCCACCGCGCCCGGCCAAAAATTTTTTTTAAAGGATATGACATAGTGAAGCTGATTTCCACTCTTAGCTGCCTGCTAGCCTACTAGAATAAACACTCATCCTTTATTTTTATTTTTTATTTTTTGAGACTGAGTCTTACTTTGTCACCTAGGCTGGAGTGCAGTGGCACAATCTCAGCTCACTGCAGCCTCAACCTCCCAGGCTCAAGCAGTTTTCCCACCTCAGCCTCCCAAGTAGCTGGGACTACAGGTGCACACCACCACTCCTAGCTAATTTTTTGGGGGGGTAGAGATGGGGTTCTGCCATGTTGCCCAGGCTGGTCTTGAACTCCTGGGCTCAGGTGATCCTCCTGTCTTGGCCTCTCAAAGTGCTGTCCACTTTGAGGTGTCAGCCCACCACACCCAGCGAAAACACTCATACTTGGTTTTCTTCCCTCCAAACCCAAAGATAATCTCTGAGTCTAACCTCTTGCCCCCATGATAGACCTCACCCAACACATACTGCAAATGAGGACCACCTCTAAGGACAAGTTTTCTCTCATATCGAGTTTCAGAATTACTTCCAGTGGCACAAACTGCATTCCCATCTTTTGCTCTAGGTTTCCAGATGCTCACGGAACTCAAAGATCATACATTTTAAAAGCTAAAACAACAGAAGGGCAATTCTGTCTCTAACTACAAAGACAACGGATAATTTAGAGTCGAAGAAAGCCATAGAATGTGTTGAAATCAAGGCAAAATATAAAAATAATAAGAAGATTGAAATAGAGTTGAAGAAAGTCTCATAGGTCTTTCTGAGCACAAAAAATGCTTCACTTCTGCAGAGTCAGTGTGAGCCATTTAGCAATGATTTTTTTCCCAGAAATTCAAGGTAGTGGTCAACTACCACTCTTCATAATAACTGCCACTTTCTGAGTGCTTACCACATGCTGGGCCCTGTGCATTATCTTATCTAAATATTGCCACTACCCTCTAAAGTGGGTACTATTACCAGAAGCTGAGAGGCCCTTGCCGGTCTGAGAACCTAATTTTAGAAAAATAAGTTGGTGCTAAAAACACACTGATTAATTTCTCTTATTTCTAATTTCCTATAACAATGTTCTTGATAAGAATTTGTTGAAATTGGGTAAAAAGTCTAGCGGTTCGCAGGGACGGGGGCGTTCTGAGGTCAGACTCACTTCCTGTCCTGGGAAGAGACCACCTCTGGAAGCCTCATATTCCTGCTCTCAGAAGTGGGCACAGCGGTGGCACCTACCTCAAGGAGCTATTGGGGGAAGCATGGCAGGTAATTCTTTTAAGGGGCTTAGAACAGGGCCTGGCACATAAGACTGGCTTATTCAATGTCAGCAATTATTCATTATAAACTATTTTAAACTCGTAGCCAGGTGGAGCCACCAGGGATTTCTGAGTGGGGAGGGGGGACAGCGGGAAGCGGGGTGGGGGGGGGCGGGGGAGGAGCATGGTGAGACAAATGCTGGCCTCCAGGTCTCAGCTGAAGTAAGACCTTTCCTCTTCTTAACCACCCAGCTCCTGGGGCATAAAAAGGGCTCAAAATACATATTCCCTGCATGCACAATATCTAGACCCTCTGGCACCCTCTTCCCCACACCTGCCATGCCTCTCACTTGGTCACCGGGCCTTGCTCTGGGCTCAGGGGCGCAAACCCTGCACCTGCACTGCCCTGCAGCCGGTGTTACACAATCCGCATTTCTAAGGCAGCCAGGAATCCCGTGTCCCGTGGTGGGGACCGCAGGTTGCCGGCGGGTACCGGGCTGGACAGCATCCAGACTCAAGGATGTCGACTAGGAGAGGGGGCCAGGGCGCGGGAGCCGGGGCAGGCTGGGGAAACAGGAGCTGAAAGGCTGCTGGGGGAGGGAAGTCTTAGCGGAGAGGGATCTTGGGGGCGACGCGGAGGCAGCGCGTGACACGGAGCAAGAGACTGGGAGGGCGAGCTGCAGTCCTTCTCCAGGACATGGAGGAAACGGGGGTGCAGAAACCCCCAGATCCTCTCGGCACTGCGACGGGCGCCTAAGGGCTGGAGCGGGCGCGGGGTCGGGGGGAGGCGGAGTAGAACGAGGGTGCAGGTCCCGACCCGTCCTCACTCTGTCCCCTGGCTTCAAGAGGCTGGCAGCCTGGACCTGGGAAGTGGGGCGCCGGGGTTCGAGCATCTCAAACCTATCCAGGCAGCAGGAGGTGGGGGCAGAGTCCGCGCGGGGAGCGGAGTGGAAAGCCAGCTGCAGGTCCTTGACTCCTTCCACCCCGTGCGCCGCTGCCTGGAGGCAACGGGAGAAGGTCACTGGGCCATCGGGGCGCCCCATCCCCGTCGGGGTAACCCCGCCCGTCCGCCCCCGCTCACCTGACAGGCCTCAGCCGCCTGCGTTCCGCCGCCGAACCCGGACCCCGACCCTCGGTCCCTAGCCCGGGCTTGGACCCGCCGCCGCGCTCCTACCCGCGCCGCTCCCAGCTCCGGCGCTCTGAATGGCTGGACTCCTTAAAGGCGCAGCGTGCCGGCCCGCGTCCTCCGACAGAAAAGCTGGCCCCGCCCGCACCTGGCCCCGCCCGCACCCGGCCCCGTGCGCAGTACCCGGGCGGAAGCGCTCGGTTTGGGGGTTTGGGGGCGCTTATCCCCAGCTCCGCCCACCGCGGGCTTACAGCGTTAAACCCCGAGGGTAAAGTTAGCGTCCCGCACAACCAGATGCAGGCAGCGGGCAACTCTCTCCGAGTACCCGAGAGCCAGGGCGGAAGCCTCAGCGCCTACTGTGTTTCCCGGGGGGCGGAGCCCGAGCGTCCCGTGCCGCCCTCCCCTCCGCCCCCCCAGCTGGGAAGCGCACAGTGGGCGGGGCACGGGGAGGGCCTCTGAGCCCCCGGAGCCACCCACAGTTCCACAATCCCGGCCCGAAGTCTTCCCGGCACTGTGTTTCACTTACTGAACACCTACGGTGTGCCTGGCGCGGCTGGGTATCACACCTGCCAAAGTGACCCCAGGCAGGATCTCTGGATCTCTGCCCCGAAAGGCATCAGAGAGAAAGGGACAGGCAGGGGTTCTCAGGCAGGCAACACTGCTTTACATCTGTTGTCTCACGTAATCCTATGAGGTAGACACTGGGGTCGGCTTCTTTTCTCAGAAGATACCGAGGCTCAGGGAGGTGCGGGGCTTGCCCTGGACAGTTAAGGAAATGGGAGAAATGGGGGAACACAGTAGGCGCTAGTGCTCCCGCCCTGGCTCTCGGGTGCTTGGAGACAGTTGCCAGGGTCGGGTTTTGTAGGACGTCACCCGGTAAGGACAGAACTGGGAATTCTAACTCATGATCGTCTGACTCCAAAGCTATACAGGAGAAATGGATATCTGGAAAGGCCTTCGGCCACCTCTGGTTAAACCCCGAATATGGTCGTTTCTTTTAGGGGCAGTTTAACCCAGGCTAGTCCTCCCTGTTTCTTAGTTTAGCTGCCTCTTCCTCCAGGAAGCCTTCAGTAATCCCCCTTTGGGTTCACATTGCACTGTGGGCTTCTTCCATCAAAGCATATATTCATTCATGTAACAGATACTTACTGACACCTGTTAGGAGCCGTGGCACCCAGGTCTTCCTGCCGCAGTGAGGCTTTGGCCCGTTTGTCTGCCTGCCACTCCAGACACTGAGGGGCCAGGGCACAGCAGGACTCTCTGCCATTTAAATCCCCCACAAAGGCAGCCTTTGGGTCTCAACCTGCCAAGGCCTCCACGCTGGTAGAGTCTGGCTGAGTGGGGCAGGTCCTGGGTTTTAAGAATAGGACACAGTCAAGAAGTCCCAGAGATGTGGCAAAGGGGTATCTCTGAAGCCACGAGTGATCCCCATGCCTGTAAACCCTGCACTGCAGGGCAGCTGGAATTCATCCGAAGTTTCAGACAGTCCCCTTGGCTTGGGCTGGCTTTGGGCTGGCTTTGGGATGGTCCCCCTGGCTTGGGGCTGGAGCATTTGCCTTTAAATTGCTGGCAGCCTTATCACTCAGACTTCAAGGGAATGTGACTCACTTCAGGGAATGGCCCCAGAGTTTCAGTGGCAATTTACTCCCAAAGAGTGGGCTGCCCAGTCCTACCTCTCTGGCTTTCTCTCTCCTCATGACAGAACCAGAAACTTTCCAAGCCAGCAGTCCACCAACATCCCCAGAGCAGGTCCACAGAGGCAGCACGAAATGTGGGGATTAAATGCCCTTCAGTCACTACTGGCCAGCTATTGGATTGGCATCTTGGGCTCAGGAGCATTCACCAAAACAGAAGTCCAGCAGGTGAATGAAACTGATGAATGACTTCCTGGACAGTCCCAGCCTAGAAGCCATCAATACACTACCTGGTCTGAAGTTGAAAATAACTGCTCTTTAGTCTTTTAATTTTCCTTCTCCAAAACCTCAAAAATGGAGAGTTCATCAATTTGGTGGGTTTTTTATTTAACGCATAGCCCATGACCCTGGGGGTCTCCAAGGGTCTGGAATTTCTATATCTGGAGGGTTTTTTTTTCCTCAGAGTTTTATATTTAGAAAACACCTTTTTGAGCCCCATGTGGGAGTCACATTCTGAGTGACTTTTCTCCACTGGATGACTGACTGGAAGGAAGCCTTATTAGCTCCAGTTTTACAGTGAAGGAGTCAAGAGGAGATAAGGGAACTCACCTCCAGCTGCTCCCTGAGTCAGTGATGCCCCTGAGTGTAGTCACTGAGGAAGCAGGCATAGGTGGGAGGCCAGGGAGCCGTCCCAGGGGCCTGGTACTTTCCAGAGGACGTCCCAAATAGAAACTCCTTATCAGTGGGCAGGTCTCACTCTAGCATTAAGAGAGAGTTTTGAAATGTCTCATCTGCCAGCAGTTGCAGCAGAACGCTTCAGGCTTCACTCTGCTGTGAAGCCTCTATAGACTCCTGGACGTGGCAGCACAGCTGTCGGAGCTGAAGGATGCCACTGTTTAATGCGCACTTACTACCTTCAGCCACGGGGCACCAAATCAGTTAGTCCTCACTACACATCGTGAAATATACCCACCTATGAGATATACTAACCCATTTTACAGACACACCGAGGTGCAGAGGGGTTAACGGACTTGCTCAAGATCCCACAGCCAGCACATGGCAGGGCCAGCAGTCAAAGGAGTTCACTCATTCATTTATATATCCAACATTACTGGGAACCTATTACATACTAGGTGCTGTCTGGAGGAACAGAAACACACTTCTTTTCCTCAAGGACTTTGAATCTATTTATAATAATAAGATATTAGAAGCTATTTAATCAGGGAATCACACACAAGCTATGATGGAATCACACAGAAACCATGTCAGCACATGGAAATGTCTACAGGAGAAAAGTGAAAAACACAGGATACCATGTGTACACAGACACCAGCTGGGCAGCACCCCTGAGCTTATGAGTCATTCGTACCATCCATTCCCAAGCATTTGCTGTGTGGCAACTCTGAGCCAACCAGTGAGCCCTCTGCCCCATCTGGAACTCCAATATCAGTGCCTCACAGTAGCCTTACCTGACCTGACTATCCAGGCAAAATTAATTTTTCCATTGTCTACACCCCTGTAGCACATTATACATGAGGATATATTGGCTGGGCGCAGTGGCTCACGCCTGTAATCCCAGCACTTTGGGAGGCCGAGGCGGGTGGATCACGAGGTCAAAAGATCGAGACCATCCTGATCAACATGGTGAAACCCCGTCTCTACTAAAAATACAAAAAATTAGCTGGGCACAGTGGCGTGTACCTGTAATCCCAGCTACTCAGGAGGCTGAGGCAGGAGAATTGCTTGAACCCAGGAGGTGGAGGTTGCGGTGAGCCGAGATTGTGCCATTGCTCTCCAGCCTGGGTAACAAGAGTGAAACTCCGTCTCAAAAAAAAAAAAAAGAGGATATATTTATTTATTTAGGCAACTCTCAACTCCATGGAGCTGTGAAGTCCTTTTCCACTTCCACCTCCCCAGGGAAAAGCATGATGAGTAGCACAGAACAGGCAAATGTTAATTAGCTCCCACGTGTAGAGCTTTTCCTGTGTTTCTCACCTTGCGCTCAGTGCTTTGCATGTATTATCTCATGGACTCCCCCCAGCAACTCTGTTACGAGCCCTATTTTACAAATGAGGGAAATTTTGAGGTTCAGAGAGTTTAATCCACCCAAATGTGTTCAATAACCTACTCAAATATCTTAGTCTGTTTGTGTGTGTGCGTGTGTGTGTGTGTGTGTGTGTGTGTGCTGAGACAGAGTCTCACTCACTCTGAGGCCAGCTGGAGTGCAGTGGCATGATCACGGCTTACTGCAACCTCTGCTTCCCTGGGTTCAAGCACTTCTCCTGCCTCAGCCTCCCAAATAGCTGGGATTACAGGTGTTGACCACCATGCCCAGCTAATTTTTGTATTTTTAGTAGAGGTGGGATTTCCCCACGTTGGCCTCTTAGTCCGTTTTTGCATTGCTGTAAAGGAACGACTGAGACTGGGTAATTTATAAAGAAAAGAGGTTTCATTGGCTCACAATTCTGCAGGCTGTACAGCATCTGCTTCTGGTGAGGGCCTCAGGAAGCTTACAATCACAGTGGAAGGTGAAGCGGAGCCAGCATGTCACCAGGCGAGACAGTGGGAGCAAGAGGAAGCAGGAGCAGAAGACAATGAGAGCGAAAGGGAGCAAGGAAGGAGGCGACACACTCTTTTAAACAACCAGATCACGTGTGAACTGCCAGACTGAGAACTCACTCATCACCAAGAGGATGGGTCTAAGCCATTCATGAGGAATCTGCCCTCGGGATCCAATAACCTACCAGGCTGATTTTTAACAACCAGCTCTCCTGGAAAATATAATAGAGGGAGAACTCACCCACCACCCCTCCCTGCCAAAAGGTATTAATCTATTCACGAGGGACCTGCCTTCATGACCCGAACACCTCATTAGGCCCACCCCCAACACTGGGAATCACATTTCAGAATGAGATTTGGAGGGGACACACATCCAAACCATATCACCAAGATCACACAACTAGTCAGTGATACTGCAGGAATTCAAACAAAGTTTTATATGTCTAAGCACAAAATCTATATTCTAACCATTCAGCCACCTGCTGTCATGACACATAATGGAATTAAATAAGAAAGATACAACAAAATCTCACCTGAAAAACTTGTACCCAGCATTTTATAAAATAATAACATTTTTAGGCTAAAAAAACTTCTTTCCAAATGCCTCAAAATATTGCATATTCATTTATTTGTGAACAAAATGTTTATCAAGCATTTACTTATGCCTAGGACTCAAGTTGTGGAAGATACAATTTTACTCCTTCCTTTAAGGAGAACATTCTAAATTATGTATACTGGAAAAAAGAACATCCATGCAAGAGTTATGTAATAAGAACACATCATAAGACAACAAGTCAACATATGTCAACACGTCATATGTAGTATATGATCATAGAAAGGACTCACTAAGCAGGAAGTTATAGAATTGCCATTCTTACTGTATTGATTCATTCTTTGAAAATACCCATTGAGCATAGCACTAGGCCAGAGAGTGTCCTGGAGGAGGAGGAAAGGGAGGACTTTGAGAGAGTATCACTATACAGGCAGCACTCTGATGAGTTCAGGCTTGCTAAGCACCAGAAGAGAAGCGGGAATATGCTATAGTTTGAATATGGTTTGTTGATTCTCACCAAATCTTATGTAGAAATTTGATCCCCAGTATTGGAGGTGGAGCTTAATGAAAGGTTCTTGGGTCAAGGGACAGATCCCTTATGAATAGATTAATGCCCTCTGGCAGGGAGGG